ATAATTAAATAACACATTATTTTTATTTCATGGTATGTTACTCTGATGTTGAATACAACAGCAATACATTGACTTTATTTATGATTAATAGACATCTCTAGAAAACGCTACACGAAACAGACAACTCAAATATGGACCATGTACTTAAATGATGCCATAGGTTTCAATGAAACTTTATCTGTATGTAACTCCAAGTAAGATGTAAAAACGCCAAAACACTTAGCTTCTAAAACCAGGTTCTTTGTTGAGATATCCAATCTAGAACAGAGGCACCCTCTAGTTAGAAAATTGAAGATAACCAAAGCAGTATCCATGCTTTGTATATTTCATCATTATTCAACAATAATGTTTCTATTATCCTTTGGGAAATATAGCTAGAGATCTGTGGTTTTTATCAATTGAGAGAGAACGATGGAAAGACACAAATCTATAAAAGAACCAAGAACCGGTCTTATTTTGAAGATGCTATATTTTCTAAATCTTTCAAAAACTCGACTATAAGGGTGTGATACTTCAATAGTTTTTTAATTTTTATACGATGAATAGATATGCTGGAGCATCTTCTACCGATCTACGTAAACCCGACTTTGATAGCTATTTCTGATTCAAGAGATATATCATTTTTATTGAAGTTCACTCTTCACCTTGTCTTCTAATTTGAATAATCTAAAAGCAGATGCAAAAAGAGTTAATCAACTACAGTAAATCTATCAGTAATGGTCGTTTTGTTTGAAGGACACTAAGTAGAAGATAAAGAGATGCTTGTGTAGATCGGTAGGAGATGGTCCAGCTTATCTATTTATGATGTACAAGAATTAAAAACCTATTGAAGTGTCATACTCGTATAGTGGAGTCTTTAAAAGACTTACAAAATACAGTATCTTCAAAATAAGACCGGTTCTTGGTTCTTTTATAGATTTATGTCTTTCCATCGTTCTCTATCAATTAGTAAAAACCACAGATATCTAGCTATATTTCTAAATGGATAATAGAAACATTATTATTGAATAATGATGAAATATACAATGTATGGGTACTGCTTTGGTTATCCTCACTTTTTTCACTTGAGGGTGCCTCTGTTGTAGATTGAATATCTCAACAGAGAAACTGGTTTTAGAAGGTAAATGTTTTAGCGTTTTCACATCTCACTTGGAGTTACATACAGACAAAATTTTATTAAAACCTATGACATTAATTGAACAAGATTGGTCGTGCATGTCGCACAATGACTTCTAGAAAGAAGTAACATAATATTTTTTTTAGAGAAATGTAACAGTTTGTATGATTATATAAATTAATAAAACGATCTTTCTGATTTATAGCCGTTTCATAGCAATGATCATGTTTAGCGATTGTACCGATATCAATATGATTTATGTATGTCACTTGATATATGCTGTATTTCGAAACATTTTATAAGAACTTATATAGATCACAGAAATTCTATGCATGCAATCATCAGTATTCGATTACATACGTATAAGATCATTTTTTATTACAAATGATGTATGTTATATCAGTCATAATTAATTTTCATTTCACAGAATTAGCACTAGTATCAGTAGTAGGCATCTGTTTAAACATATAATTTATATACTCATCATCGAATTGGAATCACTAAAAAGTATTTAAGTCAAATGTTCGAATGATTACAAGATAATGTGTGTCGATTTCTATTGCTATTAGAGAACTGCGAGTCCGAATCCACAAAAACGTGAGCCTACAGCTTCTTACTTGCTTAATCTCGTTTACATATATACAACTAAAAGTATTTTATATAGCTGAAGATTTCGCTATTACTATTGGCTTGATGACGTTCAATGATGAATTTCATTTATCAATTAATTGTTCAATTTTCTTTTTTTGTTAACATAATGCTCTTTTCCACTAAGCGAACATTTTTAATTTATTAAGCATCAAATAACTGTATGTTGACTTTTTTTCTGAGAGTAGCCAATAAATAGCTAAAATCTTCATTCGTCACTTGTTCACGTACACAAAGGGTATCAAATATTGAAAACTCGGGTTCGAGTCCACAAAAATATGAACTTGCCGCTCCCTAATTGCTATATGTTAAAATCTGATCTTATAGTCAGTTCTATGAATTGTATTATTGTGCTAGTGAAATAAAACGGACTGAAAATATTTTCTGTATAGTTTCTTTCATATTATTAAATAGTTTTTCAAAGTTGTGAAGAATTAATAAATTGTTAATTAGTGAATACAAAAGAATCATACATTGCTAATACACATCATTATTTACAATAATTCGATACTGAAATAGAAATACGTCTAGGATCTTTTCTGAGCGTCATCGAAAAAGAAAAAATAGATCAGAATCAACATAATCAATATAGTTCATTACATTCACTACCATCATTTAGTGGTTCTTGATATATTTATTTCATAATGTATTATATTTGTAGATTATGAACTATTATACTAAGAGCATATGAAAAGTAATAGTTTTCGTAGATAAAAACCCACAAGAAAGGGTTAATGAAGTTTTTGTATCAGTAACTATTTGAGCTAATAGTTCCGCTTGATAATGAACAATCAATTTGTTTGAAGACATTTATCAAAGTTATTTTTCAAATAATCTTTGATTAAAAATCTCATCATTTTGGTTACAGCACTCAATATATAGCTATTAGCAACTATTTCGATCAATCCAATTGTGTTGGACATGATTAACTGAAGAAATACAGCACATACATGAAGTGGTAGTAGGTGACAAACTCTGGATATATCACACATAAATTGGTTCAGATTCTTCAAACTACAATTGAACAATCTTCATCAACTACAATTTACCGCAGTAATTTAGCTTCAAAACAATGTTTCGTGTCTTTTCTAATAACAACTAGTCAAATACTCTTCGAAAAACTGACAGATATGAATAGAATGGAGGCTTCTAATTACCAATACAATATCAATAATTCTCTAAAACTATTTATGAATAAAAATATTAAGACAAAGATCATTGACTAACACTCAAGACATCGAAACTCATTATGACAACGTTTAACAATATATTCATAGAGATGCTTTTACTATTCTGCATCAGAACGTATCATAATTATTTTATATCCACCTTATTTTACAGATAAACTACAGTGTATTTATTCAGTGCTCGATCTAATTGATGCACCTCATCAATCAAATGACTCTTAATCACTACATAGAGTGTCATAACCAAGATAATAAGTTTTTCAATCAAAGATTATTTGAAAAATAGCTTCAACAGATGTTTTCAAGTAAATCGATTGTGCGTGATCAAGTATGGCTATTAACTCAAATACTTGTTGAAGTAAAAACTTGATTAATTCATTCCTATGGGATTTCATATGTAAAACTCACTACTTCTGGTGTACCCTAACTAACTATTATTATTGATAATTTCAAACAATTTTTTATCTCTTATTAATCTACTATTTTCATAATAATATATAACAAAATTTCTTTTTGCAGTTTATCAAATCTTCATTTATCTTATACTCATACTTTTTTTTGCTACGACTATATAGATGTGTATTTTATTAGAATTATTTCAATCGCAGTACAAGTTCTACTGTTTCTAACCCTGGAATTTTTAATGATTTGTTATGACAAATATCGAGTTCTTCTTTCACTGCCAGTCAACATCATCAACCTTGTTAATCATTCAACATTTGATCGAAATTTTATTTCATAATAATTTAATAAAGAACATAACTAAATAAACGTTCAAAGTCGTATCTTTTTATTAGAATGCCAAATTTACATATACGATGTACTAACGCAAACTGGGCATGATTGAGAATATATTTTTTTTCTCTAGAATTCAGTTCTAAATTTTAAAATGCACTATTCGATTCTATGAATAATAATTGCAAAAGTTAATAGAAGAAACATTTGATTAGATAGAATACCAAGATCTACTATTTTATTTTAACTCATTATTTGCTTATATCCCCAATTTCTTGGTTCATATGTCATTTTTTTTCTTTTTAGAAGATATTAGTAAGTTAAATTATTCTTCTTATTTAACAAAGAATTGTATACAAGACTTTTAGGAATAAATATGAATGTAAACAATAATATTATCAGAAGAATTTTTACTGTTTAAAAAATATTTTGATGAGAAGAATATACAGAAAAAAAAATTTTCTATAAAAAGAAAAATCTTCTTTTATTAATCACTAATGTATTCTTATTAATTGCTAAAGTCAATAGATTACAACACATGAAATCTAAAGTATACACAAAGTTCGAGACAATGTCTGTAACCTTTAAATGCTTTGTTTTGTCTGTGAAATACATAGATAAACTAATTTTTCATATATTATAACACTAAACACGTAATTAATTATTTCAAGGCAATATTCTAGTTATAAGATCTAATCAATGCAAATGTTATCTCTACATAAGTAGGTTAACCCTTTCCGGCCGGATGTTTCCATATGGAAACATTTTCCCCTATAAGGGTACGGCATTTTTCGAATAGCCGGCCGGAAAGGGTTAACTGAATTAATATCTATTTATATGCACATATTGTTCTAGACGTTGATAAAAAAACAATATGTTATATGAAGAATTAATCAAGAATTCATATATAAAGAGTCTACACAAAGAAAACATATATATATATTCAGAATGAGAAAAATTGTAAATTTCTTTTCAACAAATATTTCATATATATATTTATTTTAAACAGATAATTTTTATTTAGTAAACAATAAAAGCAAATACACAATATAGCATATATGAATAAACATTTATTTCATTTTTTTTTTCTATAATGAAAAAACACCAGATGTACGAATGGAACGAATACATAAAACACTTGTCACTATTATAATAAGACAATATAAGATCAATTATCTATACTAGTTAGACATGTCATGAATGTTATATTTTGACAGATTACAAATAAGATTTTTTTGTATTCTTCTGTTTCTTTTTGTGTTTGAACTCTATTTTTTTTCTGATTTTTCCTACATCAATATCAAAAATGATAATCATATCGACGATGTTTTACAATGAGATTGATTACAAGATCGAGAATATGTACTACCAAGTGTTGTTGCTGTTGCTGGTCTAAAAGTATTTAAACGATTTTGATACAAATGTATGGGATGATATTGTTTATTGCATAAAATATATCGATGATAAAAAATGTTTAATCGTTCTAAATACTCATAAAATGCTTGTACGGTTGCTTGACGAAAACGTTGACCAGCAAAACAATAAAATATAAAATTTGTCTATGATGAAAGAAAAAAAAAACAAAAATAAAATATCCTATTTATTAAACTAACTTACTGCATTATTTAATTGTAATAATATAACAGACATTTGTGAAATTAAAATATTTTGTTTTAGTTTATTTATATCATTATGTTTTACTGGATGATATTCACTTATAAACAAAATCATGGCTGGTGTTGTAAATAAATAAAATGATAAACTAACTGTAACAAGCATAATTGTTAATTGTCGTTGTTTACGACCTGAATTTACATCACTTATACGCATCTGTAATTGTTGTTCATCTTTTAAACAAGCTGATGAAATTCGTTTTGTTCGTCGACATAATGCATAAACAGTAAATAAATTTGATAGAAGAAGTAAATCTGGTATAGCATAAAATAATACTGCTTGATATATACGAAGAATTAATACAAAATATGAACGTATAACACATTTTTTAGTTCTAGAGGCCTGTTTGATATCATAAATAAATGGAAATTCTATGGAAAATAATATGATTGAAATCGTTAAGAAGATATAGATTGAGCGACGAGCTGAATTTACGGTACAAAGACGTTTAGAAAGAAATGGTGAATAAACAGCAACACAACGTTCTAAAGAAAAAAAAAGAAAGACAAAATTTAAACTTGATCTATTAACTAAAATTTATATAGCTACCTAATGTTATAATAACAAGAATCCAATTAGCGCAAAATGTTGCTAAATTTGTAAGATAAGTTAATGAACAATAAATAAAAGAATTTCGATTCAATCCTGCTAAATGAGCGCCATGCAACAGTAGAACACCGCTATCAAATATTGCCAAATATGTTATAAATACACTCGATGATGTATTTCTTAATGATCTTCTATTAATAATAACTAATGCAAGAAGATTTCCAATTACTCCAAATAAAACAATAAATGCCTGAACAAATGAAAGAATATAATTGAGATTTGCTAGATATCGTCTGATTTCATATTGAAATTCTGGTGAGGTTAATAATGTAGATGAATTATTGTACATTAGTGATGTTATATTTATCTAAATTATTTTAAAAAAATGATACTAGTTTTTAAATAAATACCAACTTTATTATAAATATAAAAATTACAGTTGTAAATAACAACAGGGTAGATGGTTAGATTCTTAATTAGAAACAACGAACTCATTTTTATTATCCGTCATAGAGTAAGATGTCAACAAAGAAAACATCCACGTAGAAATATTTGTTTTCTGAAGATAGAAAAAGATAATTGAAAGAACTTGTCAGCACCGCCAAATGTCTGCGCCCGTAGTGTTCCAGTTATCTTTGAATTATCATAAATTCTACAACTATCCTGAACATACTAGGTCATATAAACACAAGAATATATATATATATATATTTATTTATATATTTAAAGAACAATATAGAGGATTGAGTTGCTTTTTTTTCTTTCATCTTTCTTCTAAGCATCCTTTGGCATTTTGCAATAATGCATCACTAGTTTTTGACAAAAAAATTCATCTTCGCATAAATTAATAGTAACAGGAGTAATTACATTAACATTGATGGCATACATTAGGTTTTTACTATGAAATAGCTCAAGCACACAAATACTCATGAGACTGAAAACATAAGAAATTAACGAAAAAAAAACATTGACATAGGAAACATTGTCAATTATAATACGCATTGGCTTTTGTCAAAACTATCAGTGTATATGTAGCAAGAATATTTCTTCAATAAATTGATCAGACAGCTGTGTCATTATTATTCTATATAGATTTGACAGAAAGTAAAATGAAGAAAAAAGAAGTAAAGCAACATGTCATATGTTTTTTTATTTAAGTACATGTCGCTAATATTCACTAAAGAGCAAAATTTACATAAGTTATTTTTATTTTTTTTATTAAATACAAATTTAAAAACGAAAACATCTATATCAATTTGTAGTTATATTTCGAAAAAAAAACATATCACAACAAAGAAAAGAAAGTGAACATATTATGCATGTGTCACGATTTGATTTCTCTTCTTTTTATCATTATATAATAGTTTGAAGTTTTATATAAAAATAACAAACGAAGAAATTCCTTGAAAAATGATAATAAACACGGACAGATGTTTATTTTTAAGAGCAAATATAACACCACGTCTGGTTTATATATCAACAGATTTACTATTTCTTAAGAAGATGGATATAATGTCACGTCTGAATTACTTATTACTATTATTAGAAAACGGAAAACACTAAACGAATTTTCAATATTATCATAGTAAGTCTGAGATAAGAGTTATTTTTTTCATAGATAAACTGTTTCTTGCCCTAGGCGAATATCTTCTAGTATGGGCATAAGATTTTTGAGCTTCTGGAGCAAGAATGTCATGCGTTATGAACAAATCTCGAGATAATACTTGAGGTGTTGTTTTAAACTTAAGAACTTGAATTTCTTATTTCATCGCTCAAATTTCTTACTCACGTGTTTGAGTTCTTGCTCATGCTTGTGTAATATACTTGAATGTTGGAGATCTTTACTATTGTAACGTTTTAGTCGTTTCTTCGACGTAGATGCTAATAATCCTCAATTGCTTCAATGCTAAAAGTGTATAAGAAGCACGAATAAAAATAGAGATACCATGATTAATTTCTAGAGAAGTAACAGTGACAGTTATTGACTGGTACGTCGTTACCGTTTTACGGATCAAAACCGATAACCAATTTTTCACTGGCACTCATCATGGAAGGAAGTTTACTCTCACAATTTTTTAATTTGATTCTTTTTTTACTAAGGAAAGTGTTTTTCGGGAAAATATTAATTTTCTATAAAGTTTGACTAAAGGTAATCGGGATCGAAGAACTCCAATTCGCAATCATTGTCTTAAAAACTCATACTGAATTTTTTAAGCTTAGAAAAATCCTTTTTAGAAGTGAACCAAAAAATAAAGTATACAATTTTAAGAAACTGATTCCAAATTCAGATTCATCTTCCCTGCATACCTTTAGTTAAACTTTGTAGAAAATCAATATTTTCCTGAAAAACATTTTCCTTAGTACAAATGTCAAAGTGATAAATTATAAGAGTAAATTT